TCAGGTGTTCATGTTCATTTTTAGCAAGTAGCTACCATATTGCACAGCACAGAAAAAGTAAAAACTCATTGTTGGAAGGTTCTGATAGAGATTTGCTACAAAACTGCAGTTGTAGATATCATGGCATATTTGGATTTTGATTAAAATCTAAAAGAAGAATGCTTCAGACAATCAGTATCCTAATCACTGATACTGCTGGTTTCTCAGTGAGCTACATCACCTGTCCTTTTTTTTTTATTTTTGAGGCAAGGTCTTGCTAAGTTGCCCAGGCTGGGCTTGAACTTGAGATCCTCCAGCCTCATGCTCCCTAAAGGAAGTTTATCGCAGAAGCTAAGAATGTAAATTAATATATTTTATACACTGAACTGCTTGATTCTGAGTATTCTGAGTCAAGTGAGCTGAAAATTTGAAGTTGTTTTTTCTTTTTTACAGTGCAGTTTGCTAACTTGGAGTGTCTGAGATGCATGTGTGCTTTATAAGGTGAACAGGTAGTTACCCATTTTGTACCATGCAGCGTTATTTATCCTGATGATAGCAGACAACGTGACAAAAGTCATGCGCTCTGTTTGCATGAGGCTGCGTTTTCACTGGGGATATGGAGAAGACAGACACATGGATGCACACTTTATTTATTTTTGGTACCGGGGATTGAACTCAGGACCTTGCCCTTGCCAGGTGCTTATTCTACTGAGCTATCTCCCCGGCCCTATGGGTATTTTTTTTTTTTTAATGTTAATGTGTTTTTTTAGAGCAGTGCTAGATTCATAGCAAAATTGCATGTGAAGTAGAGAGAGTTCCCTTATACCTTTTGCCCCTATGCAGTTTTGGTTTTGGTTTTTTAAGACTGGGTCTCACTGTGTAGTTCAGGTTGACCTTGAACTTGCCTCACAGCAATCCTGCCCCAGCCTCCCAAGCACTGGGATTATAGGCATGCACCTCCCCTCCCTGTGCCTGTGGAGGTTTGTTTTTGTTTTTTGGTTTTTTTCTTTATATATGATTATTATTTGTGGGTTTTTGGTTTTTTGGTTTTTTTTTTTTTTTTTTTTTTTTTTTTGTTTGTTTTGTGTTTTTTTGCACTGGGATTACAGGCATGCACCACCACGCCTGGTCTCAGTGGCCGGCTCAGCACACCTGGGGGTGGGGCCAGCACATTTTGTGGGAGCAGGGATTGAACCCACGCCCCTGTGCTTGCCAGGCGAGCACTTAGTCCATTGAGCCATCTCCCCAGCCGTTTTTTTCTTTTTACATGTATTTAGTACAGGGTTTACAGGGTCTCACTACACAGATTGGACTCATAATGATCCTCCTGTTTTCAGCCTCCCAAGCACTAGGATTACAGTTATGCACTACCATGCCCAGTCTCATTCTCAGTGCACCCCAGGGGCGGGGCTCACAGTACTCCAGGGATCAAACATCAAACCCTGGGCCCTGCACCAGCCTGTGTTTTAGTCCACTGAGCTATCTGGCTTAACCCTCCTGTGGAGTTTTTATTTTAAAGATCAGTCTAGTTTTTCTTTTATTTTTTTAAGATAACATTTACTAAGATACATAATAAACTATTAATTTCCTCAAAATATTCCTACTGTGAACATACTATTTGCATCATTCTTGTCACTTTTTTAAGCAGTTCTGGAGGCTCTCTTTTCATGATTTTTTTTTTTTCTACACTTTTTAAATTGGTTGTACAGAGCTGGGGAAATAGCTCCACAGTCTAAGCTTCTGCATGGCAAGCACAAGGTCCTGAGTTCGATCCCTGTACCAACGTGCCATACAGGCCCTGGAACCCTGGGTGTGTTGGTGCATGTCTGTAAACCCAGCGCTGGGGAGACTGAGACAAGAGGATCACTATAAGTCCAAACTGCATAGTAAGACCCTGTACCAATAATAATAATAATATAATAAAAGTTTGGTTATACAGACTAACGAGTTTTATTTTTTGCAGATTCATATGTACACGTAACATACTTTTATCTTTTTCACCCCTCAACATCCCTTACCACTTCTCTGACCCTCACCCGTGTGTAATTTCACATTTTGAGGGAGCTTCAATGTGTATATTTTGCTATTATCCATTCCCTCACTTCCTGCCTTCATACTTTTCCCCCTCTTATTCTTTTCTTCTTCTTATCCAAGTCTTTACTTATTCTCATTTAGAGTCTACACATTGGGGAGAATGTATGGTGTTTTTCTGAGTTGTACCCATTTTGCTCGGCATGATGGTTTCCAGATCCATCTATTTTCTTGCAAATGGCAGACTGTCCTTCCTTGTGACTGAGTAGATCAATAGTTATAGATAGGTAGTTGTCTCTTGTGGCTTAGTGATAGATAAATAGTCCTAGATAGATAAGTAGATAAGCTGTCTGTCTGTCCACCACTGTATCATTTTCTTTATCCATCCATTTGTTGGGCATCTAGGTTGGTACCTTATTTTGGCTAGGTGTGCCTCAGTGAACATGGGTATGGTGGTCCCCTTAAGTGTGATGACTTTACTTCCGTTGTGTACCAAAGAATGGTATAGTTGGATTCAATCAAATGGTACTAGCCTTTTTTTACCCCTATTTTTTGAGGAACTTCCATAGAAGTCCACTTCCACTTTGACTCATTTGTATTTCTACCAAAAGTGTAGAGAAGGGTTACTTTCACTACTCAAAAGCTTTTCTTTTTTTGTTTGTTTGTTTGTTTGTTTGCTTGTTTTTGTTTTTGTTTTATTTTGATGGCCCAGGATGCCTTCAGGGCATTTCTAGTATGGCTTGAGGATCTGGGGATTGAACCACAGCAACAGCAATGGGAGCCTGACTGCTCTGTTTAAGGAGTCACTTAAACAACTGTGCTAATGGGCAAGCCCCCCCCCCCTTTTGGGGGACTGTTTTTTGGCTGGCTCAGGATGCCTTCAGGGCAGGTCTGGTAAGGCTTGAGGATCTGGTGATCAAACCACAGCATCCTGATTGCTTTGTTTTAAGCAGTCACTTAAACAACCCAGCTAATGGGCAGGCCCACTCCTTTTACTACTGCACTCCAACCAGCATTATGTTTTATTTTCTTAACAGCCATTCTGACTGGAGTAGGATAGAATGTTACTGTAGTTTTGATTTGTATTTTCCTAATGACTAAAAATTTTGACTTTTTTTCTTACTGAACATTTGCACTTCTTTTGAGAAGCATCTTTTCAATTCATTTGTCTGTTTGTTGGCTGGCTCTTTGTTTTTGGCATTAAATTTTCTGAGTTCTTTCTGTAATCTAAATGTTAATTCTTTTGTCAGAAGAGTAGGTGGTGAAGCTTTTCTCACATTCTGTAGAGTATCTGTTCAACTTCTTTCTCTTGCTCTGTAGAAACTTTTTAATTTGATGTAGTTTTATTTGTTGATTCTTGGCTGTTATTTCCTGTAGTATTACTGGAATCTTGTTTAGGAAGAAAGTCTTTGCTTATGCCAGTGGCTTCAAGTGTTTCCCTATGTTTTCTTTTAGAAGTTTCAACTTTCACTTTGTATTGATTTTTTTGTATAAGGTCAGAAATCTGGATCTAGTTTTCTAGAAAAGATATCTAGTTTTCCTAACAACATTTATTAAAGAGGTTCTCTTTTTCCAGTATATATGTTTGACTAACATGTCCAAAGTCAGATGTCGGTAGTTGAGTGGGTTTGTTTCTGTGTCCTTTATTCTACTTCATTGGTCTGTATGTCTATTTTTGTGCCCATGTTGTACTGTTTTATTACTATGACTTTGTAGTATAATTTGAAATTGGGTATTGTGATGCCTTAGCTTTGTTCTTTCAGCTTGATTGCTGTAGTTATTTTGTGTTTTCATGCAAATCTTAAGATTCTTTTTCTAATTCTCTGAAGAATTTTGATTGAGGTTGTATTGAATCTGTACAATGTTTTTGGTAATATGGCTATTTTGACTATTCTGTCAATTCATGAGCATTGGAAGTCTCAATTTCTTCATAGCTGTGAAATTTTCATTATATAGGTGTATTCATCAAACTTTCTCTTAACTGAGACCAGATGTTTGTTACTTTTCTCTCATTGCTGAGACAAAATACCTGACACACAAAGCTAAAGGGGGAAGTGTTTATTTAGCTCACAGTTTTAGTCCATAGTTGGCTGGATCCAAGGCAGGCAGACTTGGCAGAGGGGCATTGCAACAGAGAACCCATTTATGGTAAGCAGAAGACAACAAGCAACTAACCAGGAATCAGACCTAGCATTACATATTTTAGATCCAGTCATCTCTGAAAAAGCCCCATTTATGGTTGCAGGAGGCTTTGGGGGACATCTAGACACAAGCCATAACAGACCCTAACACCTACAATTTAAGGGAGAAGATGTGTATTTTAGCTTACTGTTTTAGTGGGCTCAGTCCAGAGTTTGTAGGGTTCAGGCAGAAAAGTCATGGAAAATCTCCTTAATCTTTCTAGTGATTCTTATTATTACAAATGTCTTTAGAGTGTTTGTGGAACCCCCAGCCCCTTTTAATAGTGATGGCTAATGAATGTTTTTCCCTTTCACCTCTGAAAGTTAGGATAGAGTTGTAATAAAATTACAAGGTGCTGGTTTTGGCAGTATTTGAGGAAATAGGTTTTTGTTTTCTGTTCTCTGCTGAAAAATGTTTTATAGTAGGCTAGAGAAAGACTTGCTGCTTACTTTTGGTTTTTTTTTTTTTTTTTTTTTTTGGCTCCGAATGT